GATACCTGCGATCTATGTTTAACTATTTATTGTTAGTTTATTTTTTAATGAGGTTAAATAATAAAACGGTATTTATTTTACTTGTATCAAACCTAATATAGATGGCGTCACGACAAAAAGGCATAAGCGCCAAAATTTCTAAATTTATGTTTTGGTATCAAAATAAAATACATGTTACGTCCTATCTACTATTAAAAAGACGCAGCTGTAAAAAAATTCATCTCAACTAAAACAAGCTTTGAATTTTCTAACCGCCAAACGAGTTTCTTAAAAGATGAGACACCGAAATCAGTAAGCGACAAGATCCGTAGTGGAAGATGGTGCTTACGTCTTGGGTCTGAAAACGTGGTTATATTAATAAGGAAAACAATAATTTGAAATATTATTAAAATTATTGTTGTTTTAAGCGTTAGTTAGATTATTTATCTTGAGAATCATAATATACCATAAGAATCTACAATTTTACGACTGTCAGTTACGTCTTTTCAGAAAACAATTTTTCGTTTATCTAACCGCCATTTGGCCATTTAAAATACACTATGACTTAAATTTGCCATAGAAAAAGTTACTATTTAACCGACTTAAATAAGGTTTGAACCTAAATAAAATATATATTTACTCTGTTGTATAGTCTTCTTTTGTTTTTAATTTTAAAGTTATATTTTGGTAGTAATATTATTTTAAAAAACTAACATTTGAATGGCGCTTACTTCTTTTTTTTTAATGGTTTTTAGAATGGTTTCTCGGGGACACAAAATAATAAATCTTGCATTGCAATCCATTTTGGAGAATCAGGAAAGCAATGTGCAGGAATCCAGCGGAAATAATAAAAACCATGGTTCATTTTCCACTGAAAATGAGGTCCTCAATGAAGCGCTAAAGCATGATGTTCTTTTAGAGCCTATACTAAAAGACCATGAACAAGAACTCCAAATGCTTAGTTCTGTTCGATGATGATGCCATTGTGGATTTCAGTTTTACTTCTAAGTCCAAATTTGAATATTTACAGCCGTTTATTTTCGAATATTGATTAGACTGCCGAAGAAGAGACTGATTTATTAACCTGTGATAAAAAGCGTGTACTTTACTCAGATAGTGATGATACTGATGATAGTAATAATAATGCCGCAATAGTATTTAGTTTATTAGTTATGATAAGATAGGTTGTAATTTTTTTATACAACATAATGATTCTTTAAACTCCGAATCAAATTCATCATCCTTGACAGTATTTCTAAAAAATGAGACTGAAATTGACAGCATTAGTTCTAGCTCATCAACTGGTTCAATTTCTAGTAAAACATCAGGTAGTTCATCTCAAAGCACTCAACCTGAAGGTAGAGGACAAAAGAGAAAAAAAAAGAAAACTAATTTATTACGTCAACGAAAGTTACGTAACTTAGGGAAAAATTACTGTATATTATAAAAACGAACGCGTTGCTGAAAAAGTTTTGCTTCCTAATCCATATTTAGGCAAGAAATGTGTCAATCAATGTAATAGCTTTAGCAATGAGGACAGAAATGAGTATTCTTAAAAAATTTTGGAACCTAGAACCTAATAATTTAGATAACAACAATTTCATTAATGGTTGCGTTAATGTCATACCTGTAAACACAAAAAGAACAGTTTCTGATTCACGTCGTAATCTAACTTATAAATACTTTCTTTTGAAAAAATGATGTACAAAAACGGGTTTGCTTACAATTCTTTAAAAATACTCTAAATATTAGTCAAAAATTGGTACGGTATGCTATTAAAGGAAACATTGAAGTTAACCATGAAAATAGGGAGAAACATGAACCTAAACATAAAATTACTCCAGAACAAATGTTAATATTTAAAGATTTTATTGAGAGTCTTTCTGCTGTCCCCTCGCAGTACTGTCGAGGGTCGACTAAAAAATTGTATCTACCAGCAGATACTAAAAGCATTTCAAATCTTTATGTACACCATAAAAATAAATGAAAATAATGGCACCCCCTTTAAAATATCTACTTTTAAAAAGTACTTCAAAAAATATTATAAACATTGGTATTCATGTACTTAGAAACGGCAAATGTTCCACATAAAAAATAGTATATTTTAATAGTTTCTTTGTTTTTTGAATAATCTTTCAGTTTATTTTCTTGTTGTAATTAATAAAATGTGATTGTTATGTTAACTTAATTTTTATATGATATTGTTTTTACACCAATATAACTCTAAGAAATATATTGTGTATTATTTATTTTGTATTATTTTTACTTAACTGTTATGCTTTAAATGAAAAGATTTACTCTCCATTTTTGTTATTATTCTGTAAAATTAAAAGGCGTACAAGTTCCTAAATATGGTAACTGTCTTTCAAAGAGCCTTAAACACCACAGAACCTAACATTAAAGGCGTAAGCACCAAAATGTTAAATATCTCATGTGTTTAATAACTGTTTTATAACTAACGTATGGTAAGTCAAAAATGCCTCAGTACAATAGTATTAAAATGGCAAAAAATGTAAAAAAAAATAAATATTAAGCGATATTAAACGTTTTTTGTGTCTCAAAAAAAGAGTTAGTCTTCGTAAGTGGGTATATTTATTTAAAAAAAATTTTGTGTCTCTTGAAAAAAAACTCTCAATGGCCTTTATGCCTTTCTGTCGTGACACCGTCGATATGTACTTAAAAAAAAGGAGTATTTTATACTCATGCAAAACAAGGTATGTCATGACATTCCTTGTTTTTGCTAATTGTAGAAATAATGTAGAAATAAAAGATGGTATAGTTACTTAAAAGATATTTTTTATTTAAAATGTAATTGGAAAGGTAAAACATAAAAATTATTGTTCGTGAGGAAGTCATTCGTGGAAACCTCTCGCGTCAGCCCCACAGATTGTTTTAGAACTTGTAGGTCGTTAAGCTTTTCTTTAGATATCTCCACCAAACCTGCAACGAAAAATTCTTTTTAATCTAAAAGAACATTTTAAAATATAAGGTAAATACGAAATATGTAAAAAAAAACTATAACCGTGAAACTCTCCACCACTCAAAGTTTCCATATGCTCAGCAGTTTTCTTGTTTGCGTAGACGACGGATTTCTAGAGTAGCCCCTTATAGGATGGTCAGTGTTTTATAAACCTATGTTTAGCTTTAATTAAGATTTCTTTTACTTCTTAAATTTTTAGAAGGGCTGTTCTTCTTATATAGTAACATATCATCGAGAAAGTGTGTTCAGTCTCTAACGATAGCTGGATGCTCTTTAGTTTTATCTACTTGGAACGTTTCTGACTTCATTCGGGCAGTACGTAAAAAATCGTAAAACTCCTATGGAGGTTCCATTCCGATCTTCAGGTTTACCAAACCAAAATTTTTATCGCATTCCATATAGGACTGCCCTCTAATAGGACATGTAATTGTTACAGTGTCTAATCATTTTACCACATGAACAAGAAAATGTTCCCTCAGCTTAATCATTATTGTATCATCTAGTGCTCAAATGAAAATAAGTTCTTAAATAATTTAATTTAAGTTTTTCTAATTGCTCACTTATATCCGTAAGTCCTCGTCCTCCTAAATATTGAGGTGAGGTGTATTCGAACTTTTCGCTGAAGTTTTTATACCCTTTTAAGTCCACTTCTTAATGTTAATTATTTTTCATTTGTTTATGGTCAATTTTCTGCGCTTGCTTTACTCCTAGATATTTATACATGTCATTTTTGCCCATAGCATCGATGTTTTGGCCATTTTGCATATCGAATCCTCCGAGCTGAACGTTTCCTTTGAATATATTTAGTATACGGCACTTGTCTATCCAAAGTGCATTCTAATCATAATTTAAAAAAGTTTCTATAGTTTTTAGCGTCTAATGTAAGTGGTTTTGAGTTAAAGCCACTAGTTTCAAATCATCCATATACAACAGATGATTAAGCTTTGCTACTACCGGAATTGAGTTTCCGGTAAAACGCCTTCTCGGCATTTTCAAAAAGCATAATGTCAGATTTTCGTTTGTTACTAATTTTGTATCTCCTTCCTGAGAACACAGAAAGTTTTTGTTTTAATGTATCCAGGCACTGTTGTGCTGTGTTGTTTTCTGGATTATATTGTGAGTGTCTTGCGGTGGTTAGCATTATTTCTTCAGCTCTTTTGATTACTTTTCTACTTGTTCCTTGAACATATTCCGTGATTTGATCAATGTCCCTACGTAATGATTCAATTTTCGTTAGCAGCCGTTTTTCCCAAGGTGCAACTCTGTTATCTGTCCTTCCGATATTAGTACCCCATCGTGTTCTGGTCTTAATGCCCATAACATTAGCAATTGCTGTTGCTGCACAGTAAATCAGCGTGTGAATATATTCCAATGTATGGGCTTGTACGACATAATTGGGCAGGACTTCAGTGTTTACAATTGGTAACAGCATAATTACACACAACAGCATAGTTATTATTATTAACATATTTTTAGTGAGAAAACACCTAAGCAATGGGTTGATTGTAAAACAATCATAGACAACTTATTTTTAATGATCTCTCTTAAATTCTTAAAACTTAAATAACAAACAACCTTATTCGTAGTATTACAGTTAATACACCTCACCCAAAAACATAAAATCTCTAAAATAGTGTAAATTATGTAGTTTTTAATAGCCACATTAATCAATTCGCAAAAAACTTTACGCAATTGCGGCACACTCCAATTTTTTGCTTGAGATAAAAGCTATTTATAATGAATTCTATGTGAATATTAATTAGATGAATGTATTTAATTAGATAATCACCTTAATCTCATTGAATAATAAAATTGTCTGTATATCGCCTGATGCCCATTTTTAACCATAGACAGAATCAGATCGATCGATATATCCGTAACGAAGATCTTACATAACATTGACATATCGGTAGAAAATAGAAATATTTTTGATGGGTGTAAACATTTCTTCCTCGGAGAAATTTTGACTATAAATAATCATTTAAGTCACTTTTTATTCAGTTTGTGTTGATCGCTCAACAAGAAATTTGAAGAAAGCAACATGATCTCTAAGGTAATTAGTCATTATTGTCGAGAATTATTAAGATAATTTACTGTGAAGTGATTAATTAGTAATTGAACTGTTTAAATGGTGTGTCCTTCTAATCTACAGAATTAACTAAAAAAGTCAGTTTCCTTGTAACTTCCCGTTATTGTTCCTTTTATTGTCATAGTTTAAAATCATTTTAACTTTTTTAGCGGCACTCCTAATAAGCTTCAATGAACTTCAAGTAAATCTCAGGTTTCCCAGTCAGGATATTTTGAGTTTTTCTTCTCTCTTGTATCTCTTTTGTCGATTTTAGCCTAAGTATATGTCTAAACAATACTTAAATAATAAAATATTCTAATTTTAATAGTTTTACAATATCACAATATTTATTCAGAATCTGTAACAACTCTATATTCTCATTCTTCTCATTTTACTCTATCTGCAACCGTTCTGAAAAGTTCTATTGACGTTTTCCCACTCCATTGTCTCAGATTCTTCAACCAGGACGTGCGTCTTCTCTCGCTGTCCTCTTTTGCCTTCCACCTTCCCTTGTATGACCAGCCGCATTAATTCGTAAGTCTCGTTTCTTAGTATGTGACCAAAGCAGCTCATTTTTCTTTTTCTTTTTATAGTGTTGAGTATTTTTTATCTTTTTTCATTCTTCGTAGCGTTTCCGCATACAACAGGACAGAGAACACGTAGCATCTCAATACTCTAATTCTAATTTCAATGTTGAGTTTTCCATTTCATAATATTGCTTGTATCTTAATAAAAGCACTTCTAGCTATCTCAATATGCCGTTTTATTTCCGTACTTCTATCCCATTCTTCATTTAGTTCGTAACCTAAGGACTGATATCTCTGCATCCTGCCTAAAAGTTTTTCTTTAGCATAAACACTGTCTTCCTCAATCTTGTTCTTGCTTATCACCATAATTTTTGTTTTATTTGTATTTAGTGCCATTCCATACCTTTCGCAGAATTGGGTAATGCGATCAACCAAGATCTGTAGTCCTTCTCTGCTGTCAGCAAAGAGTATTGTGTCATCTGCTTATCTAAGATTATTCAGAAGTGCTCCGTTAATAAATATGCTTTCATTTACGTCTTCTAATGCCTCTTTAAACAATTCTTCTGAAGATATATTAAAAAGTAAAGAGGAAAGCACACATCCTTGTCTTACTCCATGATTTATAGGTATTTTTTTCGATTTTTGTTGGTCTATTCATATTGTGGCTTTCTGATATCGGTATAGATTGGCAATAATTCTCACGTCTTTGTCATCTAATTCTGCGTTCTGCAGTATTTTTGCCATTCTTCGGTGTTTGTCGACTAGGCATATAAATATGTCGCAATTAACATCTCGACATCGTTCGATTAGTGTTTGTATAGTAAATATTGCTTCTCTGGTGCCAAAGCCTTTTCTGAATTCCAATGGGTTTTCAGCTATTCTAACATCTATAAAATATATTTCATCAAGCTAATTGTTCTGTGCTCTTCACACTTCATTGCTTTTGATTTTGTGGGTATTTGAATGAATATTTATATTAACCATTCTTTTGGAATCTCTCCTATATAATAAATGTCATTCAATAATTCTATTAGTGTACCCATATGATTTTTAGTTAATATTCTTAAGATTTCTGTAGGTATTTTATTAATACTCTTTATTATATCCGTAATATTCTTCTATTTATGTCTTCTTCTTATAGCACCAAATATATTTTAAATTGTTTTATTATTCATCTTGTTAAGCTATGGGTATATCATCAGTTGGCGCTACAGCCCTTCGTGAGCCTTGGCCTGCTTCAAAACATTCCTCCATCATTCCTTATCGAGTGTCTGTCTATTTGTGATCCCACTAAAGATAGCTATTTTTAGTGGGATCACTCTCATCCATCCGCATAACGTGGCCCACCCACCTTAGGCGGTTTATTTTGATGGTCTTCACAATATCTGCATCACCAAAAAGTCTATAGAGTTCAAAGTTATATCGCCTTCTCCACAGACCCTGTTCGTTTACTCCGCCAAATATGGTCCCCAATACTTTTCTTTCAAAGACTCGTAGTAACTCTTCATCTCGGGTCGTCATTGTCCATGTTTTCGATCCGTATGTTAGCAATGGTGCGTATTATTGTTTTATAAAGTTTGCACTTTGTTGCTATTGACATACTTCTCGCTCTTAGTTGAGGGCCCAGGCCGAAATAACAGCGGTTAGCCACGCATATTCTTTTTTTATCTCGTTGGATGTGTTATTTTTTAGTCTACCAGTGATCCTAAGTAGCAGAAGCTAGGGGTATATAGCAGTATCAATATGTAGCAATCTAACATTCTTATGGGATTAACTTTGTGTTGGATTGAGTTGCAAAGTTCTTCACTTTTATTAATGTATTTAGGTCTGGAAGAGGTCTGCTCTGGCGTAAAGGATGTTTTTAATTACTTTATATGTTGTTATTCTTTTTATTGTTGGACTGTTGATTAGTTTATGTATATTTCTTGGTTGTTTTGAAAATATCATCATTTTTGTTTATATATTTTTTTGTATTATATATTGTAACTTTTAAACAAATACATGTATCCTTAAGATATCTAAAGTTTTTGATCCTATTTCAATTGATTACAATACCTTATCTCTCCCTCTCCCTCTCTCTCTCTCTCTCTCTCTCTCTCTCTCTCTCTCTCTCTATTTCTATCCCTATCTCCCTCTTTCTCTCACAATGGTGTTATAAAGCATTGTCCTTCTCCAAACTATGCCTGCACCCTTAACGGTCCGCGCCGATTTTCTCCAGGTTCTTACGCCTAGAAAATTTTGGGCGTCCGCTGCCTCTTCATTCTTTCATCTTTTCCATGGCTTTCCTTTTGACCTTGTGCACTGAATTTTACTATCTAGAACTCTTCTTGGGCATTGGTCAGTCTCCACTCTAACTACATGTCTAGCTCATCGAAGTCTTTAAAGTTTAACGAATTCTGATATCAGTGCCTCTTTGAACAGTTAATAGAGTTCATAGTTGTACCTGAATCTTCATACTCCGTTTTTGTTAATAGGTACAAATATCTTCCTTAGGACTTTTCTTTCAAAAACTTTCAGCTTTTGTTTTGTGTCTTCCACTCTATAGTCCATAGCATACTATTGGTCTGATTTGTATTGTTTTGTAGACTCTGATTTTCGATTTCCAGTGTGTGTTTTTGGAAAGGAACACATGGGCGAGTGAAAAGTGAGCGGTGTTTCCTTTAAGATTTTTCTTTGAATTTCTGGTTCTTTTGTTCCATCTATATTTATTGCAACTCCATGATATGTAATAGTTTTTTTGACAGTTTCAATATCGTCCTCTAATACATCTGTTTCCACTAGCTCTGGCCTATGTTAGCTTTTTTGTCTTTTGAATATTTATTATTAGTTCAGTCTCTTCTGCCCCTGTTTTTAATTGTAAATAGCGAGACATAATGCTAATGTCATCGGCATAGGCGGCAATCTGTATTGATTTTTTGTTAGGAGATTTCCTCTCCCTACATTTAGCTGTTTTATCATTGTCACAAAGCAGTGATTGTTTACTTACTGCTCGCTATATTGTCGGTGCACGTACTAATTTGTTTATTGTATGGTAAATTTTTCGTTAACTATGGTCGAGTGAAGCAATTACCAAGTGCTGAAGTTTTTAGAGCTATATGCTAATGAGATATTTTGTGAGATTCTTTACATAAGGATTACAAAAAAAACACAATATACTCGATGTGGTTTGTCCTTTAAATTTAAATTTGGTCCTTTAAAACGATATTAATTGCGTTGCATGGTGAGTGGTGATTGGTACTTGTCCTAAGTGGCCAAATATCGTAATGTTATTAAAGCGTATTTTTCGTAGTTTTCAAATTCTTACTTTAGTCTGTTTTTTATCATGGGCTCATTTTTCTAAAGCAAAAATTTAAAATCTATGCGTGACAATTTTTCCATAGACAAAAAGTTTGCCATATTTCCTCTGTAAAAAATGTGTTATGCAATTTTTAGATTATTATCCAAAATAAAACTCTTTCGACATCGACGTTTTTTTTCTAGCTCATTTGTTTTTAAAACGTTTAGATAATTTTGTAAACTTAAAACACGCAGAGCTGTCACCTCAGTAATTCTTGTGGCCTTTATTGCTGATTGTACACTCATGCAGCACTGTGGTAGCAGTATGTAAACAGTCATTTGCCTTAAATTCTGCTGTGAAATTATTTCAGAACAGGACAGTGGGCAACGCGAGTAGCAGCAGCAATGGGTGCATTTAGTAGACTCGTTTAACACAACATACAAAATATGGTTACTCTCCCACTGTTGCGCTATCCCTCAAAATACAAATACAAAGACTGCAGTGAATACAGAACAATGTTATTAATAAGTCTTGTTTTCAAATCATTCTTGAAATAATACATGGTCATATAAATAAAAAACTGTAAGTAGAAATAGATGATAGTCACTGTAGATTTAAAAACAGACTAGGAACCACAAAGAAGTTATTTGCTTATAATGTACAAATTGTACAGTTGCACAAATTGTACAGTTCCACAAATTGTAATAGATAACGAACCCAGTTCAGAACACCAGTTCAGAAAACCAGTTCAGAAATTAAAATCGAGAGAGGAGTTATTATGTCTTGTACAGTGTTTTTTTGTCTCTTGGGCAGAGATGTATTATGTCTTGATTATTATTCAATTAATATGGTAAGTTTATTTTTAAAGAAGCATTACTGTCTGACACTAAAGGATTAAACATTAACAGGGGAAGTCAGTCAAGATATGCTCCATGTTAAGATGGCACCGCGATATTGGCAAGCTCTGCTCGACAACTCCAACTACTACAAACAGTTACTGTAAAAAATACGGACTACACATAACAGAAATAAGCTACAATCGTTTGAAATGTGGTATTACAGAAGAATGCTTAAAATAGCATAGACACAGAAGAAAACAAACACAAAAGTATTGCGAGAAATGGGCAAAGAATACTAAATAATAAATACAAGAAAAATAAGAAAGATACATCTGGGACACGTAATGAAGGGACAACTACCTATATAAAACGTTAAGATTGATAATACAACGACAGATAAGAGAAGAAATGAGTATAGGAAGAAGGAAAGTGGCATGCATGAATAGATGCAGCACAATAGAACTCTTCAGAGCAGCAGAAGAAGGCAACTTCATTTGCCACTGAAGCACTTATTTTATTGAAACTTATCTTTTAGTATATATTTCTTTATTAACTAATGCATATTCTTAAATATTATTCACTTTTCTTTACCTTTTAACTTATTGAGTTCTTATTTTCTTACGTTCTAACATAAAAATTTTTCTCTGGCTGAGCTGCAAAAGCGTAAACTTTCTGCTGATAGTCTTTGTCCTTTATTCTTTTTTTTTAGAACAATACAGTTATTCATTTAAATATCAATGACAATTTTATCTTTTTTTAGATCATTTTTATGTATGTATTTGGTTTTTATGTTTTAGTGTTGTTTGTGGTAATATATCTCTTGTTCTTTTGATTGTTTTTAACTTTGTATAGATGATATAATTTTTTAATTGTTAGAGTTGTAAACTCTTTTTGTAATGACTGTATTCTCTTAAGGTTATAGTTTATTGTCAAATTCATTAGACTGTAATATTTTTTTTAGATTTTCATTCTCAATTAGTTTTTAGTTTTATTTAATTATTATATATGATATAATCAATTACCTTTTTTGCTGTGACATCTAAAAGATAAGTATTTTATTAACTTTTCAGCAGTCTATTGCAAATTGGTCTCCTATGTTTCTTGTATTTCGTGAAATTACTCGAGAAATTAACATAGTGCTAGTGTCAGACTTAGTTAATAATTCAACCGTCATAAAAAAGTAAAACGTGCTTCATCTTATTTATGATATTGCCAATTTAATGCTTATTTCAGTGTCTGAAATAAAGTGCCTTGGTTTCATATTATCTGATCATAAAAAATTGTTCGTCGCAACATTCTTAAGTAATGCACTTAAGTTATAGCTTGCTGTTTTTTCTTGTTTCTGCTTTATAAAGTAATTTTTATTTTCGGGCGTTTTCTATGTTATTTTTTTTTTATTTTCAGACTTTAACAACACTTTTTCTAGTTACCTACGTAGTAGCTGTTGAGGACATTCCAACGTCATATGCTAATTATAATGATTACCATAACACGGTAAAACACATCCAATCTGCATATGCAAAGAAAGCTGAACCAGTCCAATACGCGTATGCCCAGCCACAGCAGTACTCCAAACCAGAAGCACCCTCCAAAGTGTACTCAAGTCATTTGTCTGGCTATGGCGCTCAACCACTTACACTACACTCCAACTCATTATCTGCCATAAAATATACTCATTCGCAACAACCCTCCCAAGAACGGGACTACACTGTTGGCTTAGGTGCATATGGACAACAAGCATCTTCTTTGGGTGGCTACGAACAATACTCAGCAGATTTAGGTTCCCAAAATGTTCAGTACGCTGTTCCAACTCAATCCGTTCAGTATTCAGCACCCAAGCAGCAAATTGTACAGTACGCAGCACCTCAACAGCCTCAATATAGTGGACATAAATATGAAGAAGAAAATGTAAGTAAAATTCTTCAAATCATTAAAACACAATTAATAGGTATCACAAAAGAATAATGTATCTTCTTATTCTAAAATATCGTCACATTTTTATCATATCCAAAATCAGGCTAATATTAGACTGTTAATGTACACTGGTCTATCAAATATTTCACAAAAAAAATAGAATAGTTTTTCATTTTGGTTTCTTTGTATCTTTTTCTTTAAATCAAAGACCTGTCGATTCTGATACAGCTATCGTACCAAGGTGCTGGTAGTCTGCCTACTTATTTCCACATGTGTGGTTTCCGAATTTTAAGGAGTGCTGTCTTAAACAAGCTTAAACTTCACAAGTAGACGGGATGCTTAGTCGATGGTAGATAGAGATCATCATCATCATCATCATCATCATCATCATCATTATCATCGTCCAGCCTTCATTTATCACGTCCACTGCTGAACATAGGCCTCCCTTAAACATCTCCATTCTTTACGATTTTATGCTCTTTGTTGCACAGGAAGGTTACCTTCCCTAAGGTTTATTTTAGCCATTTTTTATTTAAACAATTTATTTACACAATTAGTTTCTCTATTTATTAAAATTATTTAGTAGCTACTGTGGGTGTAAGATATTATAGACATTAAATTATTTCAAACTTTGCTTTGTTTTTAGACTCACCCCAAATACGAATTTTCCTACGGAGTAGAAGACCACCACTCTGGAGATATCCACTCCCACAAAGAATCTCGTGATGGTGACGTTACTCAAGGAGAATACTCCCTTCATGAACCCGACGGTACCGTCAGAACTGTCAAATACCGCGTCGACAAACATAGTGGTTTCCAAGCAGTAGTTGAAAAGTCTGGCCATCCTCAACAACAAGCTCAACAAGCGAAGAACGCTTATTATTAATTGTTGCTGTTAAAGATCTCACAAACGCAGTATTAACTAATTTTTAGGTTGTTTTTATTTGTTGTAAATGTATTTATGCTTAAAAATAATAAAATTTGCCAAAGTAAGTGTTATATAATAGTTTTATTGAAAACGAAGATTCATATTTAAACAGTTTTAAATTTACAGTAGTTTTTTAGAGTCAATAAATTAATTTTTAATCTTTCTGGAGTAAACAAAAAATGTGTTGACATGGAAATTTTAACATTTTTTTATAAAATATAAAAATAGATCATGTAATGTTAATATGGTCTTTTAAACCTAAAACATTTTAATAAGTTCTCACTTTTTAGTTTGGTGCATGTGCCTTTTTATTTAGAAAATCCCGCTCTAACCTAATAAGGTTATTATCGGAGCAGTAACTTCTAATTACCTTTGGTTAGTAAACAAGAAGTCTTCTAAAAGTATAAGTAGGTTACCGATAGTTTTATTTGAATTTAAAATGTCTTTAAAGCCGGAGATACACATGCCTGTTACTAGCACAATGGCATACCACTACCTAGCTGCGTTCCCCAAACTGGCAAGTGTGTACGTTAACTGGCATGCTACTTCCTGTCATGCTAGCTAATCGCAAAGAATTTGATTGCTGTGAGATGCAAGGCGCATGCGTGGGCTGTGTCACTGGCATGTGCGAACGCGCGCTACCGCTACGGTCATAAAGCCGGAGATACACATGCCTGTTACTAGCCTAAAGTCATACCAGTACCTAGCAAGCACCAGCTGCTGTCCCCAAACTGGCAAGTGTGTACGTTAAACTGACATGCTAGCTAATCGCAAAGAATTTGATTTTTCTTGCTAGTAGCATGGTGTGAGATGCAAGGCGCATGCGTGGGCAGTGTCACTGGCATGTGTGAACGCGCGTTACCGCTACTGGCATGCCAGTAGCTAGCACATAATTGTCAGATTTGTTGTATTGGTGATAAAAATTAATCGTTTTATTTTTAAACTTGTTAATTTAAAAAATGTTTCGTTGGGGTGATGAAAAAACCATCAAATTTATTGCTATATATAGAGAATTGGAGTGTCTTTTAAATTCTAAATCATCTCTATATAAAAATAAAATAGTCCGTGACAATAAGGCAATTACACAAAAAAGAGGAAATGGGTGAAGGTATTACTATATAGGAGATAAAGGCCAAAATAAAAAATTGCTCCAACATTTTCTCGCCTACCAATTCAATTTCTCACTCAAATTCTTCTCTTTTTGAGTTCCGCTTCAAATTCATTATTAAATTTTTAACAATATCTGTGGTGATCAGCAATATTTGCTTGTTAAATTCATTCCGAATACTTTTCATGGATCCCTTATTTTTTGGTGGAAACTTAAAAACTTTTAATTACAAAACAATGACTTTAGTTTCAAATGGAAACCACTCGATTATTTACTACACTGGCATGTGTAAAAATCTATCCTGCTTTTTCGCCTTGCCAGTACAGGCAAGGGAGCTACTGGCATGCCACTTACTATCAAATGTGTGTTGTGCTTGCCAGTTACTGGCCTAAGCCAATTGCTACTTTTCCAATTTACTGGCATGTGTGTACCCGGCTTAAAAGTGGCTAGAAAAGAATTGTCAGATTTGTTGTGTTGGTGATAAAAATTAATCGTTTTATTTTTAAACGTAATAATTTAAAAAATGTTTCGCTTAGGTGATGAAAAAACCATCAAATTTATTGCTCTAGATAGAGAATTGAAGTGTCTTTGGAATTCGAAATCATCTCTATATAAAAATAAAATAGACCGTGACAAGGCTTACACATCCAAATACCAAATTTTTCTCTTTTTTCAGTTCTGCTTCGGATTCATTATTAAATTTCAAATAATATTGGCTTGTTTAATTCATTCCGAATACCTTCCATGGATACCTTTTCTTTTGTTGGAAACTCACAATTTTTTAATTACAAAACGAATACTTTAGTTTCAGATGAAAACCACTCGATTGTTTACTAGCACTGGCATGTGTAAAAATCTATCCTGCCTTTGTACCTTGCCAGTATAGGCAAGCGAGCTACTGGCATGCCAATTACTAGCAAATGTGTTTTGTGCTTGCCAGTTACTGGCCTATGCCAGCAACTGGCATGCCAGCTACTTTTTCAATTTACTGGCATGTGTATAGCCGGCTCAAAGCTAAATAAAGTTCATAAGATAATTATAGCGAGGATCTTGACAAGGCAGATCAAGCATACAACGAGAAAAAAAAATGATAAATTCCGAAGTTGAAATTCTGAAAATATTGCATTTTTGTCACTTAATTTAGAAAAATGCTTAGCTAGACCCATGCTTCAAAACAGTATTTCATTTTATAAAAGATCATTATGGAAATTAAACCTCACTATCTACAGTTGCATAAATAAAAATAAACATGCCGTTTGTTACGTTTGGGATGAATCAATAGCCGCTAGAGGAGGACAAGAAATAGCATTCTGTTTGAGACAATATATATTTTCCTTACCGGCAAATATTATTGAGAATAACATGTGCAGTGACTGTTGTTCAGGACAAACAAGAAATGTTTATGTTGCTGTTAAGTTGTCTCTTTTAATAGAAGATTTTAACCGAAATGGAAGAGATCTTATAATCAATAATCATGTGGCTATTGGAAATGTCAAGAAATATACAACTGTGAAAATAGAAGTACCCAGAGTCTGGGCGAACTTAATAAGAATGATTCCGAGAAATCCTTCTATAGAAGTTATAAAAATGGAACAAAAAGATTTCCAGAATTTCTCACAAATTCTAAAAAGTCACTACGTGCATCGCAAACTACACATTGACAATAAAAATATATCCTGGCTTCACATAAGATGGTTACATTTTCGCACAGATGCTAAAAGTTTCTTGTAACACTTATTTGGATTCAGAATAATTTAAAGTAATGAATTTAACAAGAAAGAAAGCAACATGTGCTACACGTTCATCTCAACTCTCTAGGCTTGCATCAAGCAGTAGTCCATGCGAAGTTACGCTAACCCCACTAACCAATCAGGGAATTCACTATCAGATAATAAAGGTAAAGACTCACGGACTTAATGCCTTATATTTCTGTATCAAGCAGGTACTTTTTGTAATGTATTTTTGCTAGAGCACCACCAGCCAAGCTGTAGATGCTGAATATTTACATGACGAGCGCATATATGAAGATGATATGTAAACACCAGGAATTGACTTGTCCATCTTTATTTTTAAGTAGATAATAGTATCACAGATAATTTGCATTAAATTGCCTGTATTGTATTAAATGTCAATACACAATTAATAATTTACCTAAAATTTTTATTTCAAGAAATGACTATGTCACTCAAAAATACAAAAAAGAAGATTTTTTGTTAAATTTTTAACTACAACTTATAAACTAATCTACTATCTCAACAAAAACACATGATCAGTGTCAAAAATATATTAAATAAACTATGTATAACAACACAATTTTAAGGGAGACAAATTTGGTCTTATTGACAAACATCAAATTTTGACTTGAGCCACAGCCACCTTTACTTCCAAGCCATGAAGTAAAAAAGGCAACACCGCATTCTATGACGTCGGTAGTCCGATAATCAGATGTAAGGTCTACCAGAATATTAAACAATTTGAATTTTAGGAAACTGATATTTTGAAAACTTCAATTCATTACAGAAATATTTTTAGGGAAATTAAATTAATAAAACCTTATATATACCTAGTAAATATATATAAAGTTTTATTATTATTTAGGTTATATTATCAATAAAATAATCACTAGAGTAAAATTTATTGCACTTAAAATACAGTGTCAAACAGTTAATCTTACAATCAAATGCAGTCAAGAATCTCTAGAAATTTTAAATATTAAGTACTTAAGCATATATATAACACAATACATTAACACTACATTTAAAAAGATTATTAAAAATACAAAAGATATAAAATTTGTGCTAAGTAAAAACTTAGTGTAACTATTATGATTAAAAAATTCATCCTAAGAAATCAGACACAATATAAATATGGATCTAAATTAATCTAATTGAAAATTAAATATTTTACTATTTACTTATAACTTTTGTTGAATTTTCATACTTAGATATACAAAAGTAGCAATTTTAAATATGAATAGGTTTGTTGTCATATAGACCAAGTTAAAAGAGGTATACATGAAAAATGTGTTGAATGTAACATACCATTTATAACTTGTATATCGATTTAAAATAGCGTATATTCTCAAAAGATTTTTGAATGTAATACTCAAATTTGTTATCACTTATCTAAAAAGCAAATCTAAATGAGAAAGTAAGTTCTCTAATTGTGACCATCTTGTTAATTACCTATATTGTAAAATCCATTTCAAATCATTACCACTTAATCTATTCTTACCTACATTGACGATTACACTAAAATTACTGCTAACTATTACACTACATATTACACAAATATTATCACACTTGTGTCCAAACTGATTAATGTTTAATACATAGAAATATACAGTCACTTGTAATTTTACTTGTCCAGTTTTTCAATGGGATATTATTGTCTAAGTCTAATTGACATAATTATGTTATCTCTTGTTCCCTCTTCTTATGCAAAAAGTTTCTTCTGTCTTCAGGATTCCTTCTTTCTTTAGTACGATGAACAGTTACATATGATGGTACTTCGGGAAATATATTAGGAACTGCATTGCCTTTTAATTTGGGAAATATTAACTTTTCAATGTGTACATTTCCATCTTTATCTTCTCATTGTTCAGTCCGCTGAATATCATCTTCATGAAAATGTTTGGCACATACCACGGAAGATTTGGTAATTGTACAGCCTTCTATATGAATAGAGCATAACCCAGTATACCTTCTTTGGGGATCTTTGGGAAACAAAAACATACTTTCTGCCTGTTTTGTTTTTAAAGTACTGGCATAATTGGTTTTGCAACCAGGTACACAACAATGCCAGAGCATCTGTAACAAAAAACAAAAGTATTATTATTGTTGTTTTTAGT